GCTAGAGGTTATCTATCATCATAATTAATTTTTCTACAATTTACTTTTATTATTTTTATTGTTTTTGTTACTTTAATTTTATTTTATTTAGTTTACTTGATTATTTTAAACCCCCCCCCCCGTTTTTTAATTATTTGTTTTACTGCTTTTTAGGTTCAAGATCAAATCAAATCAGAATTAGAAATTTTTGAATCCCTGTGTACCTACACCTTTCTTCCTTATTCTGCATTTTAGTATAATTATTCAAGAAAAAGGATTGATTATTTGAAAATTATGACGCTTGTCACCGAAGTAAGTTGAAATTCAGCCAAACTTGAAATATGAGGAAGAACCAGTAAAGATTTTGGCTCGCAAAGTTAAAGAATTGAGAAACAAGACGATTCCACTCGTAAAGGTTATTTGGAGGGATCATAAACTGGAGGAACCAACTTCGGAAAGAAAAGATGACATGAAAAAGCAATTTCCTCACCCTTTTTTTATGTAAATATGCAGTGAAACTTCGAGGAAGAATTTTCCTAATAGGATGAGAATTGTAATACCTCAAATTTTTTGACTAATGACAAAAATGTAAATTTTGGAAGTTTAGTGGCCAAAGTAAAAAATTTGTAAAAATTTAGGCACCAAAGTATAATTTTTAAAAGTATATATTTTGGCCCGTAAATGAATAGTTCTTCCCAAGAATAATATTTTTGTGAGAATCAGATTTTTGATTTGGAGTTTGTATAAAAAGGCTATTAAGTGATAAAGTTCGATAAAATATTCAGATAACTAGATCGAATCGAAAGTTTACAAAATTTTGAAGAAAGGTAATTTGAGGTTAGAAATATTATATTGAAATTTTTTAATCAGAAGAATTTGATGTGGATTAGTGGAATTTGGTGGAATTTTCATGTTAAAGTGGAATAGTGAAATTTAGTGACTAAATTGAATTGTTGGAAAATTGAAAGGACAAATATGGAAATTGATAAATAGAATTTTTATATTTACTTAAGTCTATTAAATTGGGGATAAAAGGATGGCATGGAGGTAAATATTAAGATTCGTTAAAGGTAGATTTGACTTCTGAACCAAAATAATTTTTTAATTCATTTTAAATTAGCTTTTAATATAAGATTTGGAGATATTTTACAACAAATTTTAAGAAACATTTCTCTATTCTTCTCCATTCTTCTGAAACACCGAAGCCAAAGTGATTTTGATTTTTGTTTTCATTTTGGATCCATTTAGTGAGAATTTTGACTGAAGTGTGAAATAAGAAAATGTTCTCCATTAAATTCTCTTTCATTTGGCATAAGTTTTTCATGGTTTCATGATTAAAGTGTTGGATGGGTGTTTATGATGGATGAAGAGGAGTTTGAAATTAAATGAAATAAGATTGGATTTTGATCTTAGGAGTGTTATGAGATCATATACAAACTTGAAAATTGATTAAAAATCACTAAGGGGATCAAGTTGTAAGAATTGAACATGTAGGGGTTTATGAGAAATTGTTGATTTTGATTTACTTTTGTTATGGGAATGATTAGAATGAATGTAAATGAGTTGTAGGTTATAAAATCAAACTTGAAACAAAGTTGGAGACCATTAGGGAAATGCCCTATAAGTTTCGGCCTAGGTGAAGAAATTTTGGGGGAAATTTATGCAAAAATTTCTTTAGGGCTTAGAATGGATGTAGGGATGATTCCATATAATTGGAATTTAATTTTGGATAAATTTGGATTAACGTAAAGCTTATAGGACCTTTTTGCAAGTTTTAAGAAGTTGAAGGATTATTAAGTAAATGATGGAAAATTGAGGTACTATGCTGGAAATTGGTGCTAGAATAGTGAATTGGACTATTTTGTAAAATGGTAAAAGGTGAAGGACTAATTTGGAATGTCTAGGAGAAGTTGGGGATGAGATGACAAAAGTATAAGATTTAAATATTAGCTTGGAAAATATTGCTTGAAGTTGGAAATGGTGACTAACATAGAATAAAAGTGATTGGTAGGGACTAAATTGATGAATTTTGAATTATGAAGATTGAATTTAAAGAAATGTGTAATTGTGAATTAATTGTTAAATTATGAAAAAAAATAAGTGATTTATGGTTAAGAAGTATTATTTTTCAAGGACTAAGAAGGTTATTTTGCAAAAGTTGAGTTAGAAATTTATTAAGTTAAATAAATAGTATTGAATATGTATTTATCGCATTTTTGAGATTTTGTTCGAATATGTGTGTAATATGTTAGTTAAATACTAACATATGTTTGAAATTCGTTTTGGTTGGACAAATGAATTCCCAAAATAAAATTTGGTAGATCATGATTGTAATCAAAGTCAAGGTGTGCGAAAAGAAAATGATAAATTGGATAGCAATTGAGGCATCAGGTGAGTGCATTTAATTATATATAAATAATGAGAAAGACTTGCGATAAGTCAATCTCAATTTTATCTGTAAGGAAAAGTTTTTAAAAATTGAATTTAGAATTTATAAATTTTATTACTATTATTATTTTATTTTATTTAAATGATTTCAGGCACGAATTGCCCATCAGAAAGATTTATGAGAATTTTATTTATTTCATACAAGTGAATGTTTTGATATGTGGATTGATATTCGAATGATTTTTAGCTATGCTTGTCATTGTTATTTGAAAAGTATGTTGATATCCCTACGGTATGATTGAACTAAGATTTTAACATGAAAGCTCAATGTATGTGTAATGATAATTAAATGTACAATTGGTATGTCATGAGGTGGAGTATTATAGATCGATCTAGACTAGTGTATTCGTGCACTTTAGTGTTGGTGCATTCGTGCACTCCAATTTAGTGTTTTATGCACTCCAGTATTAGTACCATTGGGTACTCTATTATATAGTACATTTATGTGCCCTAGGCATTATGTGTGTAATTATAGGGTTCATGGTGTTTTGACGTCATGAACTACCATCTCGATACCTAGTATAGTACTACTATCTTCTACAGTACCTATACTTCAATTTAACACTCGATGAGATTCACGTACCTTAAGTTCTCTCGCGATATACATTTAAACTATTGAATAATGAATCTAAATGCGTGGAATTATGGTTTGAAAATAGAAATTTAAAATAAGTTCCATATATATGTTTTCTTGATTTATTTGTACATAGCTATTTTATTATGAACTTTTATACTCTTTGTTATTTATTTATTTTATTTTATTTTAATTAAGCCTAGTATACCTCAGTGAGTATGATATACTTAGCATGTGATTGTTTTACATGTCGGGAAGGACAAAGAAAAGATTATCGAGTAGGGAGTTTCTCATCATTACCTCAACAGTGCCAAGTTTTCATCTGAATTGGTAAGGACATATGTTTTAGTATTTTATTTCAGTAGTGGCATGTATATTATAAAAATTTTAGTGACTCTGATATTAATGTTTTAATACATGGTTTGTAAAATAATAGTTATTACTGTTAAAATATGGTATTAATATGGTTAGTAGTATAAAAGAATAATATTTTATTTGTTGATTAGTTTAATTTTTAAATTAGATGATTTTAAATTGTAGTACTAAACAATGTTGAATTTCTTATTTAATGTTTAAAATTAATTTCGGTTTTGACATTTTCTTATTGAATTACATTTTTTTATGAAATTACTAGTTTAATATTTATATGTGATTTGGAGTTATAAAATAAAAAAACAAATTATGGGTTTTTTGGCATAGTAAATGTTTTATACGAGTATTGTGGCATCTTTAATCTTATACGAATACATATATGGGTTAAAGGTGTTACAACCTAAATTTAAATTTGATAAAAAATAAAGAATTAATATAATTTTTTATATCTAACTTCAATATTGATTTTAATAATGGTAATTTAGTACTTTAATTTTTAATAGTTTTATTAGGTATCTAATTTTTTAATGGTGCAATTTAGTATCCATTTCTATACAATTAGGTACCCAAAACTTTATTTTTGATTGCAATTTGGTACCTAACATTCTTTTAAATCGTGTTCATACCTAAAATTTTAACATATAACTTTTGAATTTGTGACATACATTAATTGTTTAATTAAACAGTATTAAAATTTTAAGTATGAGCCAATCATAATTGAATATGTATAATTAAAAAAATTAAAGAATATTAAAATTATAAGTATGAACCAATCATAATTGAATATGTATAATTAAAAAATTGCGGGTACCTAATTTCATCAACAACAAAAAAGGTATCCTAATTCGGTCGGCCACCGAATTAGTTCGGTCGGTTTAACGGTTAAGAAAATTTTTAGAATTCGATTAACGGTTAATTCGGTTCGAAATCGGTTAATTAACCGAATTAACCGAAATTAAATTTTAAATATATTATATATAACATATGAGCTTAGTTCAAACCATTTAAAATCTAATTAATAATTTAAGATTCAATAACTTTTAAACCTAAATCAATATTAATTAATTAAAAAAATTATTATAAAATTTTTATTTATTAATATATTATTTAAATTAATTGTAAACTATTTTTTGATTAAAAAAATATTAAATATATTATATATAACATATGGGCTAAGTCAAACCATTTAAAACCCAATTAATAATTTAAGATACAATAATTTTTAAACTTAAATCAATATTAATTAATTAAAAAATTTATATAAAATTTTTATTTTATAATTATATATTATTTAAATTAATTATAAACTGTTTTTTTAATTAAAAAATATTTAATTTTTATATAAATTCGAAATTCTAAAAAAAATCAGTTAATTCGAAAATTAACCGAATTAACCTAATTTTATTCTGTTCAGTTAATATTTTTGAAAAAAAATTTGATTCGATTAACAGTTAAAAAAAAAAATTCGATTAATTTTATTAATGATAGTTCGATCAATTCGATCACCGAATTAACCAAATGAACAACCCTAATTACATTAACAGGTCTACACACTTTAAACTTCAAATTTATAGAGAGCAAAAACAGAAAAAACAAGGTACAAAGAGCATCACTTTCTTCAGCAGATGGGCTTGTAATTGTTGCATGTTTGATTTCCTTTGCTTAGCTTTTTTATATTTAATAATTTTCCCTAATATGATTCGTTCCCCCTTTAATCTGTTCTCGAATTTTATTTAGAATGTTATTCATCACTTGGATTTGATTTCGATCGCTTCGATCTGCTATATTTTCCAGATTTTCTTTCCATCTTCTTCTATATAAGGCAATAAATGAAGTTTCTGGATTTTTTACTGTTTATTTTTGTTAGTTTACATTTGAAAATAACCATTTTTGCAGCTTACAGTTAAATCCGAGGCAGGGAATTGACTTCAAAATAGGAATAAAAGAAAATGGTACGCCGATGATATCCTTTTCTTTAATTACTTTATATATTGTTGCATTTGTTAATATATATTTGGTCAATGCATTTATAAAGGTTTAATTTTCTCTGACTCCCTTGCGAGAATTTTTTTTTTTTTTGGCTATTTCTTGACTGTCTTAGTAATTTAATCTGATTGAACATAAGGAATATGAGATATAAGTTGCAGTTGAACTGTGGAGGATTTGATAGCATATAGGCACCATAAATGATTAGTAAAAGGATAGAATTCCTATGAGAAAAAGAAAATACTTTCTAGATCTAAAATATCGTTAGGTGTAGTATTTGATTATTGATGACTTCACGGTCCAGTGGGAGGATATTGAAATAGGGGGAAGGTTCAACAGTTGGTCGATTTGGCTGTGGTGACTGGGATTGGGAAATAGCACAGGTGAAGTGCTGAATAATCCAGCATGAGTGTGTTCTATTTTTTCTAAGTTTTCCTATGTATTTGAAGAATCTTTAGAGGGATATACCTCCTTATGTCAGACATGGGTGTCAGATACATTTATGTGTCTATGTTCAGTTTTTTTAAAGTTTTTCCAGTGTATTTGGAGGTTTATGGAGGCTCATATCCCTATATTCACTGGTGTCACACATGAGTATTTAAAAGAAAAATTAAAAGTGGAACAACAAAGTAAAAACAGTTTTTGTTACTCCTTGTGGGGACACAGAGAGTTACTGGACTATGTAGAGCCCATCCCAAGTTCTGTCACTTGTTCAGGGGTTCGATTTAAAGAAAGATCTAGTTCCAAGCTGGCTGGTTGTGTTATGTGAAAGTTCTGTGTAATTGTAGTCTGGGATTTACTAAATTGGATTCTTAGAGGGTTATATCTCCATATATATGTCAAGACACGGGTATCAGATACAGGATTGTGTCTAACATGGGTATGTTTCAACTTTTTAGAAGTTTTTGCAATGTATTTGGAGGATTCTTGGAGGGTCATATCCCTATATTCACAAGTGTCAGACACAGGTATTTAAAAGAACAATGAAGAGTCGGAACAACATAGTAAAAAGTAAAACTGGTTTTATTGCTCCTTGTTTGACAACTAAGGACGGTTACTGGACTATACAGAGTCCATCTCAATGTTCCGTCACTTGTTCAGGTGCTCATTGTAAAGAAAGATCTATTTCCAAGCTGACTGGCTTTGTTATGTGAAAGTTCTTTATCTAGTTGGAGTCTGGGATTCACTAAATTGAGCATTCATTGGATTCATCTGGTGGTTTGTTTTGGTTTGTTCAAATAGCAATTCATGCGTACAATCTTGTCAAACGGCGCATATGCCCAACAGCAAATTTCTTTGGTTGGTGACTACAGATAAGTGCTGTGAGCTTGATCACCTTGCTAATGACCAGAATATTAGATAATGAGTTCTATACTTCTGTTTATGCCGTTGAAAATATAAATCTTATCTACAGTTTAAAAATTTCCATACCTACATTTTATATATTGACAACCAATTCATCATTTATAATTAAAGAATCAGGACTGAGGAACACTAACAGTTCTTCCATGTAAGCATTGGAGCAAATGTAATACAATCAAATGAGATGTAAAAGCAAAATAATGAATAATAAACTATAATTTGTTTTCTCGGGCCAATGTTTTATGTGAGGAATACAGTGAATATATTGTCAGTAGTTATTTCTATTTAACTTGTTTTTCTATATAATAATCAACTTGAAGCATGTTTCTGGCATATTCATGTATAGCCTGTGGACTTCGGATTAATTGCCACAACTTTTATAGGCTATGTACATCCGTGTGAAGCGTAGCAAGACAACATACTTTATCCAATGTGATCCTACTGAGACTACCCTAGACATTAAGCAAAAGTTGCATACCCTCATTGATCAACCTGTTAATGATCAGCGTTTGATCCTAATGAATACTGGGGAAATATTAGAGGATTCAAAATCTTTGGCAGATCAGAAGGTATAAGTTACATTCTCTCTTTATTCTTTCCTCCTTACATTATGCTGGAAAATCATTTTGCAGCTGTTTGATTTGATATCTTATATCTGACTTTCTTGTATAATTCTTTGAATTATTTTTTACTTCTAATGTGCTCTGTGCTTTCAGGTTGAAAATGATGCTGTTGTGGCACTGACCTTGAGAAAAGGTTATTTCTCATTAGTAGTTTTCTTGTTTTTCAGCTTTCGTTTCTTTTAGAAGTTTCTTATTACACGTCATCCATGTATTATAATTCCCATTTCTAGGCTCAAGTGATTTGCATCAAAGTAGATGAATTTTTCTGGCACAGGATAAGCCATAATATATACACTTTCCAATTTGAGTCTTAGATGATAGGTAACTTGTGTTTTTATAATGACGTACTAATTTCTGTATTTCATTTGGTAGGTTAAAAAGGACTCTGTTTGCATTTACTATGTTATAAAACAAGTGAATATGCGTTTACTATTAGTGGAGCACTTGCAAAAGTACAATACACTTGTATATGTCAGTCCTCTTATTGGCTATAAGCCATGGAAGTTTTCTGCCTTAGCTTAATAGGTATTGCCGCTGAAAGTTTAAAGGTTGAGATGCTAAAAAAGCCTCTGAACTATTTCACTGTTCTAAATAAGCCCCTCTATACTTAATGTACCCAAATAAACCCTTTTTCTTTTGATTTGTACCTAAAGAATCCTTTATTTCAAATGAGATATTGATTTAAGTGTTCATCTAGATATACATTAAAGGTTATCGGCTTATAGTAATGCATGTTAAAGATGAAGGGCTTGTTTGGTTAAGTGCTTATTTGGCTGTAACAAAAATATAGGATCTTATCTGAATGAAGTGATAAAGTTTAGCCATTTTGGTATACTTTAACTGACTTTAAACTATTGCCTCTCTAGTATGGAACAAACCTTAAGTTGTGATGTCTTTTTCTCCATGTAAATTGTTAAAATCATAAATAAAGTGGAATTTATTTTATCTAGCCTTAGAAGTTGTATTAACTTTTTAGAAACTTGGTTAAGCACCCTCTTTTTAGATGCATGTTTGTGCATGCATTTTTAGGCATCAACATTTATGCATGCATGGGAATGCTTGGGGCAGTATCTTGTTAAAAAAGTGTTAAAACTCTTGTCCCCAAGTGATAGGTGATCATTCACTTCAGCAAATTTGTTATACTTCATTTTATCTTCTCTTTCTCTCCTCCTCCGTCTCAATGTGTTTTATATCTTTTAGTCTGTGTCTCTGTGTTTGTTTTCCTGAAACTGAGAATGTCGGCTATGCATTATGATATCGACCACCGCTTACAACTACATCTATATTTAAAGTGGCTAGTGCCAACTCCGGATGACCATTGCTGCAGTAGTTGAGCGTGTTCTTTCCTGCAGCTCTGGCCGTTGTTTACGTGCTTCTTTTTCAATATCGATTTGTCAAAAATGGATAGTTACACTTCTCTTGCATTGTTAATTATGCGAAGAGATTGAGGAACAAGAAGCATATCCTATACTGTCTTTACCGTATGCTCCGTGTCATCCACCCTAACCCAACCAGCATTTTGACAAGCTTTCATATTTTCTGCATGCAGATGACAATGAGTTTGAGGATGTCAACATTGTAAAACCGAACGATTTCTACCCATCTCGTGATGCAGACAACGGGAATTGGTGAAACCACAAATGAATGTGAAAAGAAGTTAAAGCTGATACACAGAACTGAGACTCGGCAATGCAGACAGTAATTTCTACCCATATCGTAAGTCGTGATGTTTTCATCGTTCCATGGTCATTATGCATTGGAACAAGTTTAACAGAGTAATTTCATGCATCAACTCTCAAAATTAACTATAAAGATAACAAGTTTTCTGGGAAATAATGTTGTGTTGCATTCTTGTTTGTGAAATCCCTGATTGAAATCTTTATTTACTTTTTGAGGAATAAATTAATGGTGGTAAAAGAAAAGAACTACCATAACTTGAATAAATTACAATGCCTTTGAATGTGTGAGCTTATGAAACAAAGATGAATCTCCATGAAATTTTCAATTGCCATGTTCATTCATACATGAAGTTTCCCTCATTATTTATCTCCTATAATATTAAATTCAGAGTTCAAACCTATAATAGTAAGGGTAAACTATCTATTGGATCACCCATCAATTATTTAGTTTTTATTTTGGTTACTCAACAATTTTTTTTTTTCAAAATCATACCTGATGTTATGTTTGATTTTGTTTTCTTTACTCGTTAAAATATTAACCGTGTTGGTGACGTGAGATTTTTGTAATTTTTTAAATATTGATATGGCGTTATCTTATGTTGACATGTTAGTATTATTGTTAATTTTATAATGTAGGTGAGCGAAATAGAATCAAAATGTAGTACTAGGTATGATATAAAAATAATAATACTTTTTATTAATCCGAGGTAAGTAATAGTATAAGGAATAACAATAATTCTTGTACCATTAAGATCACTCGGTTTGTGTTAAAAATAAAAATAATTTAGTGGAAAAAAAACTAAATAATAAGTGGTGGTCAAATAGATGATAATGGTCACTTCCTTGAATCAGTATTCTAATAATTCACAAAGTCATTCAAAATGAAATATACATAGCCCTTAAATCCTGTCGTTTTCAGTAATCTACTCTCAAGTTTTCCATCGACACTTTTGAAAATTGCATTTTATCCCATATTTTTAAATTTTATTGAAGATAATTTATTATATACACCGACTATGGTAAATTTAATAATTAGTATAAGGAAATGTCTCATCACCAAAAATACAAAAGCCGAAAACAGGAAGCTGAAAGTTACGTGTTATGGGGGAGACAGGATGTCATCACATGCATCAAAAATTGGGGAACTTAGCCAATAATTTGTGCCTCAAATCTTAACAAGTAATGACAATGGGTCAAATTTGTCACCAAAAAATAATATATCATTTAATTTTGGAACCAATATTTGTGATGAGATTCATTGCATAAACAAAACATGGGATGGGGTCCTCTACGTGCCATGGACTTTTTTTGAGACCAAAAAACACTATAATAAAAAAAGTTTAATTCTTTTAGTAATATAAGAAACATCTTTTTGTTAACGTTTTTTATTTTGACTGGTGATTGTATTATTATTACTCCCATTATTTATGTATAAAGGAGAAAATAGATGGTTAGAACCAATTAAACTTTTATTTAATAAAAACAATTTATCATCATATTACAATTTTGTTATTAGTATAATGTGATTACAATATAGTATATGTCTAAAATATTTTTAGCATATTAACAATACACGTTATGTAAATGTAGCTTCTCGAACTTAAGTTCTTTAAAGAGGATAACATTTTTTCTTTTCACTAAGACTATTTAATGGGTATTACGACTCCAAGCCATAGTTAATATATTTTTTGAATAATCTAGGATGATTATAAGGTAATATATGTTTATAATTTTCTTAATTATTGAAAACGAATACACACTATTTAAATCCAAAATCTTTTGAAAAAAAAATAAAACTCTCTTTAAGTATTAATATCGCTTGATGGGTCCATAATCAATACAAATATAATATGTTTAAAGTGTTTGAAATGATTGAAATTTAAAAATAAGAGGAGAATTAATGTTATAGTGGAGTGGACCACCATAACTAATACTGTAATTGAAAAATAGTATATTATATGAAAGAAAATAATGGAAGTAAACAACATATAAATGTGAGTGAATTAAGACGGGAATTTAGTTGAGATGGGCCTGGAAGTAAATTAAAGAGGTCAGCCTTAGCCTTAATGGAAATTGAGACAGTAAAAAAAATAATGAAGCAAGGCCCAGGATAGAGGACAATAGCTGTAAAATTAAAATAATGGGCCAAAAGCACAATGTAATTATGGTCTCAACTCTCAAATCAAACAAAGCCGCTAATTGAGCTTAGATTTTTTATTTCATTTTTAATTGGAAAAGTACAGATGGGCATAGGTAGGATTTTTGCTCCACCCGACCCGAGAACAATAACTCATCCACCTAAAATCTGACCCAACCTGCATAATATATACTATCCACCCGACCCGACTTTTTGAAATAAAATCCGAACCCGAACCCAACTCGAACCGACCCAACCCGAAATAATAAAAAAATATTATTTTTATTCAATAAAAACAATGATTTAATTGAAAAAAATATAGAGAGATGGGCATTATTGTAATTATTCCTAAATATATAAGGTAAAAAAAAATTCTAGATCGGATCGGGTATTTTTCACCCTAAACACGAATCCGACCCGACCAGGATTCGATTTTTTTTATTAAAAAAACCCGACCCGATTGAGTTAGGTTCGGGTACCATGCCCATCCCTAGAAGTAAGTATAGAAATCCTGATTATCAAATATCAATAGACAATACTACTTACAAATATAATCTACACGTATCCATATAATAAATTGTGAAATCACTTGAAAAACAAAATAAACAATAAATGAAACGGAAAAATGATGCATTCTGTAACGGAAAAGGGCTTATCTCATAAATGATAATTATTTGCTGGTTGCTGCATAGTAGTAGACAGTAGACCAGCTCATTACCATATTCATATATTTGTACTAAGCTTGATGGATATTTGTAAATATCAAACTTTAAGTTTTAGTACTCAGCTAATTTAGTAGGTTGAAGAGCTAGATTCTTTAGAAAATATTAGGAGTTAGAATTTCGATGAATATTAATGGAGTAAATTGGAATAAGAGAGTTGTCCTCATAATGAATCTCTACGAAATTCGATCTGAATTAATCAATTAATATATTAGATACTGATAATTAATTCAATCTTTTTATAATTTTAGGTAAATACAAGACTGTATCTGTTTAAGAAATTTCAAGTCTCGATAATTATTCCATGTAATTTTACTTGAACAAAAAATAATACAATTTAAAATATATTATCTCAAATATGAATCAATTGGTAGGAAACACTTTCATGCAATTAGAAATAGCAGAAAGGGAAGAAAGTCCAAATATAATTTTACATTTGCTCTCAAGCATATAATGTGACTCAATAATAATATTTTGAAATAAGATGACCTAATTGTAAACATGTTAATAATAAAGTGGACTCTGATGTAATTTACCCTAAGATAAATAAGTAAAATTCTATTATATTTAGAAAATATATTGTATTTATTAATTCTGTAATACCCCAAATTTTGACTAGTGACTAAAATGTAAGTTTTAAAAATTTATTGGCTAAAGTATAAACTTCGAAACATTTAGGGACCAAAATTGTAATTTTTAAAAATTATATATTTTATCCTCTAAATGAATAGTTTGAATTAAAATAGAGATTTTAGTGGTAATCAGATTTTTGGTATAAATTTGTGTTAAAAGCTATAAAGCAGTAAAGTTCTGTATTGAAATCAGATAATCGGATCAAATCGAAATCTTACGAAAATTTTAAGGATGTTAGAAAATGGTTGAAATATTATTTTCATATTTCATATCAGAGAAAATTGGCTCAGAATAGTGCAATTTTTCAGATTTGACCGAACAATTTAGATTTTGAATCTGGCAGTGAGTTTGAAAATTCACCAGAAATTATATAAAAATGATTTGAAGGTGATTTTTATATATTTTTGTTCATATATCAATCTAGTTTTGTTTAAAATAAACGGGAATCAATTCAAGGTATATACAAAAATATATGAATTTTTAACTGAGGAAAGGCTAGAAAAATGGTGCAGCAAATTCTGAACAAAACAGATTCTGTCGGTCAACTTTGAAAATTCACCATAAATTGTACAGAATGAACTAGAAGGAATTCTTTATATGAATATATTTGTATTCGAGTATAGTTTTCAATGGAAGAAACGAAATTAAATTCCAGTGTGTATATCAATACAAAATACTGATTCTTTAAATGTAGTGTGAGTGGTCTGAATATGAAAATTTTAGAATTTAAGTGAAAATGGATTAGAAGATGAATAGTAATGTTTAAATATTTAAGTATATTTTTGGATGCTTGAAATTTAATTTAAATGGCAAGAGACCATTTTGAATAAATTGGAAATGTTGAGAAAAATTCTAAAAGAATTCATTTTAATGGTTAGATGGTGGAATTCAAAAGGTTCCAAAACTTTGGGGACTTGTTTGCAAGTTCTTAAATGAAGAAGTATTATTTGAGTAAATTATTGAATGCTGGAAAATTTATTAGTATTCTAAAATTTGAATTAAATATTGAGTTGAGGTTGAATTTCAAATTTATTGAGTTTGGTGGTTGAAAATCGTAAGTTAGGAAAGTTTGAGTTGAAATTATAAATGTTTGAAATGTTGAGGTATTGATTTGAGCATTTTATTAAAAAGTTGGAATTTTTATATTTAATGTGCAATGATTTTAATGGTGAATGACCATTAGGAACTAAATGGAAAAGTTGAGGTGAATTCTAAAAAGAATTCACAACTTATAACTTATATTAGTTTGATACTAATATGTAGTTCGAACACTTTGTGTTTTTATTTGGTATTGTCATACCACGACAAATCTAGCAATTGGGATGATTCGAAAAGAAAAGAAAAAGCACATGATTAGAAATATTGTTTAAAGGAATCTATAGTGAGGCAAAGGTGAATGTAATTATTTATTTAATTATTACGATTTAGGACGACTTGCGATAAGTCAACCTCATTCTAATTTACAGTATGATTTATAAAGTTTATAAAGAATATTTTTATAATATTCTATATCAGTTTTATGAATGATTTAGGATACGAACTACCCAAACATGATATTTTTATGATGGATTTATTATGATACATCAACCCATTGTGTGTTATAGTGAGAACTGTTGGTACACTTGGCATGTAATTAGTTGAGTATTTATCCATTATCAGCTT